CGTAAGAGGACCGCTCCCAGTGGATGGTGTATCTTCTGACAAGAGTGGTAACACGAATACCTGTAGGGGTCACTCGTGGCTAAGTAATGTCGTGACTATAGATATATGTTAGGGCCGCTATGGTTGGTACGACCGTGATCGTAGATAGTGCCATATTTTGACCAGTTGGAAATAGGATTGAGCAAATTGCGTATCTGTATCTGATGTGGTCATTCTACTTGGGTAGTTGGAAATCTGTATCTGCCTTCAGAGATGGAAGTTGTAATGACTTCGCGAAATATGACACGAAAATTTGAGCATTTCATAATTTATTTGATTTTTTTTATTATTTGACATGATGTATGTTTGATTTGTTCATATTAATTTACTGTGTTCTTAATAAATAAATTATTTTCATAATGTAAGATTAGTCTACAAGGTGGTCAAATGGTAAGCTTGTAAGTTAAAATAATTTACCTTTAAAATTTTACGATGTTAATTTAATACTTTTTTTCTTACTGAGCACATAGAACTCACTCTTTCCATATTCCATAAATCATAAAAAAAAAAAGAGAAACTGCAGGCTGACCTATCCTTTGAAGTCTATGAGGATCCTGCAGATTCACAAAATTTGAGTGCATGATTGTTCCCATACTCTGATGAGTCTAATAGCATAGTGAAAGAAGTTACATTCTTTTATGTTTTATTTTATTTTTATATTTTGTAGCTACTTTAGGCCTCAGTTATATACAATGTATATAATTGTAACTCATATATATATATTTTTGTAAGGATTTATAATAAGTTTATTCCGGTGCATAAATTTTATCATGCACTCTATTCTGAATTTGTATCTCACACCTATTTGCCTAAAGCATATGAAATGTCACATAGTTGATGTGAGATTATATCCTCAACTAACACTAAAATATATATACACACATATATATAACATCAACTATATATAGATATAAATATCTGTATATATATTTTCAAAGGTTCTTATGCTTAGTTTTTGTGAATCACATCCCAAAAAAATACTTAAGCACGTGTATATATATATAGATATGTACATATATATGCATATATATCATATATATAATATATATATGTATATATTTTCTTTCTCCTTTTCTAGTATGATAAATTCTCCAGTATTAGTTATGCTTTTTCCCTCATCTGTTACCAAACATTAAACATTCATTAAATTTAAAAGCAAAAACAAATTGCTAAAATATGAGTGTTAGTAGTTTTAGGTTTAGTTGAAATATACATCATTACTCATTTGTTGAGTTAATGAGACTTACATATTGTTAATATCTATAAATTAACAGCAAACCAGTATATTTTAATCAAAGTTTACACATTGAGGATTATTATATGCATTTTTGGCTTAA